GAAAACATGCAATGTACTTTCTAACCAACACACATGAGAAGCCCTTACAAATTCACCACAATCGTGCAACTGATTATGTCATAATAGGATTTTCATAAAATTCAACTATTTAGGCTACCTTAAATAAACCACCATTTGGCGATAAATGAAACAACAACTTCGCGATAATACAAGGGGTACTCTTCTCTCTACTCTAACCAAATTCCTTTAAGATCTCCTGAAACTTAATTACAACATCACTAACAGCAGGTTTAGAGCAAACCATAAATAAATGCAAAAATCTCACCTCCAAAGTAGGCAAAAATCTTATCTCCAAAACAGTATTCTACACGGTGTCTGAGCGTTAAAAAATTGCCAATAATAGTGTTATGAATTTTGTATTTAAATAGTTAATTTTAGAAGAATTATAATTAAAATTTTTGTATTCTCCGTTCAATGCAGAGCGAGGCAAATTTTAAGAGAAAGCTATGCCGGAAAAGTAAGAATACAGGGGTACATGCATTTAACTTTGCGTAAAAATGGATATCTCGATAATTTGTAAAATGCTATGTTGACCGCTATGTTAGCTTGTAACCATAATCCTTATTGCTTTACAGAAATTTCGAGAAGCAAAAAGTACTAGCAATTTACAACTGTTTACATTGCATTTGCCAAATAGTATGGGTTCGTTCACCAGTACAGGTTACCACAACCAGATGCATATGTGCTCTCTTCTGATATGTCAATAAATCGCCAAAAGCCGGTTGCAGAAACATCCCCTTATTATTTACAATGCTTATAGTAATACCTAACCTATTTTCAGATAAATTATTCAATTATAATGATGTATCAATATAGAATATTTTGGTTTAAGATGTATGCCAAGAGGGTTATAGAGCCAAATTACTATCATTCAGATTTATGCTAATTAATGATTGTTTATTTAAAATTAAGCCATTTTGGTTAATCTTTGGATTATGGTAACTTGGCGAAAATTTGGCAACCAACCCTGCTACAGCAACCTGCTAGTTTTGTTTTGGATGGCATTTTGTTTTCACGAAGTAAAGGCAATTTTTTTTTTTACTCAACATTTTTTTCCAACAATCTGCTAGCTGAATTATGCTTATGCTAGAACTTTTATGGAACAAAAGTGCTTAATCATGACGAAGATTAGGTGCGAAATTGGGAGAAAGTGCAGAATCGCCCACTGCTTGCCGCATTTTTAAGAATTGCACATACACGGTATTATCCATGTACACGACAACCTATTTTCACTTAAAAAAACATCCCAGAATTGCACAAAAATGGCATTGCACACACTCTCGACTTTATCCATGTACACTGCTAAAGTCCTAGCTAGTAACCTTTATCGTCTTACCAAAATGTCGCCAAACTACCTGCTAGCAAATTCCAAATATTAGCCGATATTTTATTTAGAGTTGAAGTTAAATTAAAAATCAGGACTGTCCATCCATTTTATTATGAAAAAATGTCAAATATCCATGTGTAAATCATATAAAAAATTTCTAAAAAACGTATTGCTGGTAGTCCGGATTTTAGATTAATCTGGATCCAGATTGTACTGTACTAAATATTGTGTTTAACCAGCTAATTTTTACTAACATATTTTCTTTTAAGTTTAAATTTATAAGTATTAAATATTATGTTTAACAAGTTATATTTTATTTACATGTGCTTAATATACTTTTCGGCTAATCTTTGGAATATGGTAATAGGTAGTTTGATGACATTTTGGTAAGGCAATAAAGGTTACTAGCTAGAACTTTAGCAGTGTACATGGATAAAGTCAAGAGTGTGCGCAATGCCATTTTTGTGCAATTCTGGGATGTTTGGTTAATCTTTGGATTATGGTAACTTGGCGATTATTTGGCGACCAATCCTGCTACAGCAACCTGCTAGTTTTTTTTTTTTTTTTGGATGCCATTTTGTTTTCACAAAGTAAAAGCTTTTTTTTTTTTTTTACTCAACATTTTTTTACAACAATATTCTAGCCCAATTACGCTTATGCTAGAACTTTTATGGAACAAAAGTGCTTAATCATGACGAAGATTACTTGCGAAATTGGGAGAAAGTGCAGAATTGCCCACTGCTTGCTGCGTTTTTAAGAATTGCACATACACGGTATCCATGTACACGTCAACCTATTTTTTCACTTAAAAAAACATCCAGTTAATCTTTGGATTATGGTAACTTAGTGATTTTTTGGCGAAAATTTGGCAACCAACCCTGCTACAGTAACCTGCTAGTTTTGTTTTAGATGCTATTTTGTTTTCACGAAGTAAAGGCATGTTTGTTTTTTTTTTTTACTCAACATTTTTTTCCCAACAATCTGCTAGCCGAATTATGCTTAGGATGGAACTTTTATGGAATAATGCTCTTTTTCCCTTCTTTTTCAAATCGTACAGAAACTTTTCAGCCCATTTTACTGTCTAAACCAGAAAACATGCAATGTACTTTCTAACCAACACACATGAGAAGCCCTTCCAAATTCACCACAGTCGTGCAACTGATTATGTCATAATAGGATTTTCATAAAATTCAACTACTTAGGCTACCTTAAATAAACCACCATTTGGCGATAAATGAAACAACAACTTCGCGATAATACAAGGGGTACTCTTCTCTCTACTCTAACCAAATTCCTTTAAGATCTCCTGAAACTTAATTACAACATCACTAACAGCAGGTTTAGAGCAAACCACAAATAAATGCAAAAATCTCACCTCCAAAGTAGGCAAAAATCTTATCTCCAAAACAGCATTCTACACGGTATCTGAGCATTAAAAAATTGCCAATAATAGTCTTAATCATGATGAAGATTTGGTGCAAAATTGGGAGAAAGTGCAAAATCGGCCACTGCTTGCCGCGTTTTTAACCCGGGGGAAGGCGCGTCGGGTGTATCATACCCCAACCCTACATAAAAGTGGAATATTCCTAACTTGTGAAACTGAAATTTTGTGCTGCTTTCAGTAGCTGAGTTTCTAGTTGTGGTTGACTTTCAGAACCGCTTTTTCTTTGCCTGCGTGTTTCAGAAAAAGATTTATCGGTAGTTTGTTGGAACTGGGGTATGACACACCCCACGCGCTTGTCCGTGTAAGTGTTTTTCTGACTGAATATTTAGTTCAGAAATTTATTTCTAGAGTGTAACAGTAAATATTTCTACTTGCAAGTGATTTTAAAGTACTTGACATTAAATTCTTAAAAATTTCTACCTGCATTATGGTAAAAAGAATGAGTTCCTATGAACTGGAGATGCAACGCATGCGAGATTTATTAGAAATATTTGAAAGCGATGAAGATTGCATTTCGGAAACTGAAGATGAAACTAAGAATATTTTCTACAATGTTTGGTTTCGAAAAAGATAAAACATTAATTCCTGATGTTCCTAAAAAAGGAAAAACTATTCTTATGCTTTATATAACGATCATTATAACATTATATAACGATCATACTATAGATGATATTGGAGAAAATAAAACGTTAGGAATTATATGTTTTAATAATATGACTGAAGGAGCAGGGGATATGGGGGATGAAATGTCAGCCAATTATTCAATTGCCAGAATAACAAGAAGGTGGCCAATGGTAATTTTCTTTCCTGCACTGAATGTTGCTGTAATAAATGCTTGAATTATATTACATTCAACTGCTAATCCACCAACAAGAAACATATAAAAAACATATAAACATATAAATCATATATACATAATATAAGTCTGTTTTTGAAGGACTTAGAATTACAATTAATGAAAAAAAGTATTGAAGAATCAAAGAATCAGAGATTAATACTTTTCCAAGAAATTGATGTACTGCATGCAAAACAAAAGCAGAAGTTTTGATGAAGAATTAAAACGAATACATGAAATTAGAAACAACTAAGTATGAAAGACGTGTTAAATTTTTTGCCCTCGTGCCAAGGACAGAAGAACGTGAATGCAATGTTTAAAATGTGAAAACATTCTGTGCCAAGAACACATGAATGTATTTCGTTCAAAGTGTGAAGAAATAAAAAAAGCATGGTGTATTAGAGATGCAATGAAACTTAGAGGCATGATGTTTATTATTTTCATTTATCTTAATTTTAACTCTAAAGATTATTTCGGAAATTAATTTTTTGAAACCCAATTATTATTCCCTTATTTATAATACACAAGAACAAAAAAAAAAAAAAAAAAAAAAGTTTTAAAACTAAATAATACTATTTTATTGTATTTTAAATATAGGGGTATGTGATACCCCACGCGCCCGTACTAGTAACTTTTCTTGGTGCGCCTTCCGCCAGGTTAAGAATTGCACATACACGGTATCATCCATGTATACATAGACCTATTTTCACTTAAAAAAACATCCCAGAATTGCACAAAAATGGCATTGCGCACACTCTCGACTTTATCCATGTACACTGCTAAAGTCCTAGCTAGTAACCTTTATCGCCTTACCAAAATGTTGCCAAACTACCTGTTACCATATTCCAAAGATTAGCCAACATGAAAATATCTATGCTTGATATATGAATTATTTAAAAAAAAAAAAAAACTACCTGGAGTTATTTAATTATCAAGAAACTTCCAAAACTCATCCCATAAGCTGCGCTCTATATACATTACTTAGTTAGCATTTGCTTTAAACATTAATAACTTTTTCAAATAAGGTTTGGTTTATTTAATTATGACAAAGCACACTAGGGGCTGCTTAAGGGAAGGGTTGCCTTCGTGGAGGACTTTCTAAGGGCAACTGGCTCGTACACAAGTTACACATGGGAAAAACCACGAAAACGCCCATGCAGCCAGCCCGTTCGCAGGATTCGAACCTCAGACCAAACTACCAGTGTTCAGCGACTATACACCTTGGCCGCTAGTGGGCTCTTTTTCAAATAAGGAAAGAAAGACATCTGAAGCATAAAACTTTAAACATCTATATTAAGAGAACGTTAGCATTCTTTAATCAAATATCTAAATAATTTCATCCTACCTACTTTGCTCTCAAGAGTGTATATAATTTATAAAAAAGGTATTAACTTATCCTTTGCATTAAATGACTTCTTACAGACTTCACACTCATGAGATTTATCTCCTGTGTGAATAAGCATATGCTTGTTTAATACGTACTTTCTTGCAAAAGACTTATTACATACTTCACACACAAAAGGTTTCTCTCCTGTATGAATAACTATATGCTTATTTAAACTACTCTTATAACTAAATGACTTCTTACATACTTCACACATATAAGGCTTCTCTCCTGCATGATTATTCATATGTTCATATAAATTACCCTTATGTCTAAATGACTTCTTACATATTTTACACACATAAGGTTCCTCTCCTGTGTGGATATACATATGTCTGTTTAATTTATCCTTTGTATTAAATGACTTACTACATACTTCACACACACAAGGTTTCTCTCCTGTGTGAATAAGCATATGCATGTTTAAACTACCTTTATGATTAAATGACTTCGTACATACTTCACACACATAAGGTTTCTCTCCTGTGTGATTACGCATATGCTCGTTTAAACTGCCCTTATGTCTAAATAACTTCGAACATACATTACACACATAGGGTTTCTCTCCTGTGTGAATAAGCATATGGTCATTTAAACTACTCTTTTGACTAAATGACTGTTTAAAATTTTAAATAATCAAAATTTATTAAATAAAATAAGAAACTTCGAAAAGTTTCAGATAAATATTTAATATAAACAAGTTTCTTACCAGCGTGTAAATATTTCCTAAATGATTCATTTTTCCAAATATCTTCTTATATACTTTATACACATGGAGTTGGTTTACTTGGTATGTCCATTATTTGACTGAAAATGCTTGACTTCTTTCCCTTTCCAGTATAACACAGGGTAAATCTTTACTACTTTTGTGAATGCTATGCACTGAAGCAGCAGGTATTTAATACATCAGGTAGATAGGTAAGTTCTTCAGTGTTGATAAGCTTCTTCAGCACGGCAGTATCTATTATTTCATTACAGGCAGAAGGAAGACATTTTTATTACTAATCGCTGAGGTGCGATTGCTGTTTGCATGAATTTTTTTTTTCGTTTGAGGACACGGATTTAAGATTTATTTTCATCAAATGACAATTTAGATACCTCATATAGGGTCAGCTTTATACCACTTGATACAATGCCTGCAAATCCTAAATTTTGCCATTGAGCACCTTTAATTTCTAGGAATTTTACCACAAAAGTTTGTTTGCTGCCTTATTAAGTCTTTACAGAATTGATTATTTAAGGTTGTTACAAATCTATGATGTCCTCAAAACACATCAGACTTCTCTTTTCTGTAGATAAACATGCATTTCTTCATGTTATTTTTCTGATTAAATGAATTATTACATATATAACTCATGAGATTTCTGGATATGAATATATGAATAATACTTCAGTGTTAATGACTTCTTACATACATTACACAAGAGGTTTTTCTGATGTATGAATATGCATATGCCTGTTAAAACTACCACTCTGACTAAATGCCTTTTTACATACTTCACACACATGAGGTTTTTCTCCTGTGTGACTAAGCATATGCCTGTTTAACTTATCCTTTGCATTAAATGACTTCTTACAGACTTCACACTCATGAGATTTATCTCCCGTGTGAATAAGCATATGCTTGTTTAATACGTACTTTCTTGCAAAAGACTTATTACATACTTCACACACAAAAGATTTCTCTCCTGTATGAATAACTATATGCTTATTTAAACTACTCTTATAACTAAATGACTTCTTACATACTTCACACATATAAGGCTTCTCTCCTGCATGATTATTCATATGTTCATATAAATTACCCTTATGTCTAAATGACTTCTTACACATATTTTTACACACATAAGGTTCCTCTCCTGTGTGGATATACATATGTCTGTTTAATCCATTTATCCTTTGTATTAAATGACTTACTACATACTTCACACACACAAGGTTTCTCTCCTGTGTGAATAAGCATATGCATGTTTAAACTACCTTTATGATTAAATGACTTCGTACATACTTCACACACATAAGGCTTCTCTCCTGTGTGATTACGCATATGCTCGTTTAAACTGCCCTTATGTCTAAATAACTTCGAACATACATTACACACATAGGGTTTCTCTCCTGTGTGAATAAGCATATGGTCATTTAAACTACTCTTTTGACTAAATGACTTTGTGCATACTTCACACACATAAGGTTTTTCTCCTGAATGAATAACCATATGTGTATTTAAATTACTCTTATGTCTAAATGCCTTCTTACATATTTCACACACATAAGGTTTCTCTCTCTCTGTGTGAATACGCATGTGCTTGTTTAAACCACACTTTGAGTAAATATTTTATTACATACTTCACACATATGAGCTTTCTCTTTTGTATGAAAATTCATATGCTTGTTTAAAACTCCCTTTCCTTGAAGGATGGAGTCCATTCAACAAAATGAGCTTCTTCTTTTGTAACGACTAGCATAGCAGTGTATCCAACCTCTTTACCGGTAACTTTGGGGAATTTAGATCGCCTGGTGAGAGTAGCGTCTAGCCGTTGCATTGCGCATACACCTTATGTGCATGCGCAACGACAAGCTTCGTTGGCGTTACTTGCTGGCTTCCGATCCGAACTCGGACGTGTAGACACTTCGGATCTATCATCTTACTTATTTCTTCGTCAACTTTTCCCGTTTTGGGGATTTACTAGGAGTAACTAGTTTCGGTGTACGAAACGCCGATAGTAAGGCTCCTCTAAACCAGGCTGAATCACCAACTTTTCTCTCTTGGCGAGGGAGTGAACGCGCTGCCAATTTTTGCGCGTTTATCGCACACGCTGGCTGAATGTCTGCTGTTTTTTTAAAGATTTATTTTATAGACGCGCGGCATTCAGCGCATATAAACTTTTCGGATAATTTATTAATTCTCGAATAGTATATAGATGTTTTCACCTAAATAAAAATTTCGCGTATATTTTGTAAACATATTCAAAATAACTTATTCTTTAGATGTTTCAGTTTCGTTAGCAGACTATAATAAATAAGATATGAATAAAAACTTTCAATAGTGTCAAATGGGGAAATAGTTAAAGCGTAGAGTGTGCAAATAACTTTATCTTAATGACATTTTAACAAAAATTTCCATAAAAACACTGTAAATTCATACTAAAAAAATAACTTAAGAATATGTTGTCATTTAAGTCTGAGGTATATGGAAATAATTGTGCAAGATTCTGAAGAAACACTTTCTTTTAAATGTGTGAAATATTTCATAACATATATGGAAGAAGAAAGTACAGCATTCTGTGTTTTTGGATGCTTTTCATCAAATGTAATATAAATACGAACTAGAAACCGTAATAAAAGTCCTTCCTCTTCAATCAGATCACCTTTGTGTTGCATTGTATTTGTAATACTTCTAAAAATCCAATTTTTTACCTAAATTAAAAACAGTTATTCCATAAAAGATAATAACTTTGAACGTATATAGAATGAATTTTGTAATTTGAGTTATGTTACAAAATAATTCATAGTTTATATATATTTTATAATAATTTAGATAAAAACCTGTCCTTTTAAATTTAAGAATGTGTGTTAATCACATTCTTAAATTGTAAAAGGACGAACTTAACCACATGTAATTCATTTCAAAGCATAAAAGAAAGCTTTATTTTTTATTTTACACAGCAACAAGCATTTTCATGCAGTCAAGTTTTTTTAACTTGCTAGTTATTATACATAATACTTAATTTTGAAAACCCATTCTTTATTAGAAAGCATAACTAAGAAACTTTTTTTAAAGCACCACAGTGATTGCAAAGAATGTCGTTAAATTTACAAAAGTATTGAAATATATTGAACAGCATTATAACAAGAAAGTACTGTACAAAATATGTAAATTTAGCATAAATTTAGCAAATTTACTTTCCCATTATTTTTTAGTATTTGCACATAGTTTCCTCCCAAATGAACCTTAATGGGAAGTTATCTTTGCGAAAATTTAAAAGTATTAAAATGGCCTCTATTTAAGATGTAACTGCATTTATAATTATTTTGTAATTGTGAATAGATTATATTATTGCAATTAGATTATGCACTTACAATATATTGCATAAAGTAATGAAATTAAGAGTTCACAGATACAATGTAATATAATTACAATGCAATTACCTAAATTGTAATTATAATCACTTTATTTAATACCACAATATTATTACAAATCACAATGTAATTTAAATTGGGTACTATATTTGCATACCTCCACTCAAAAGGAGGTACTGATAAGCCTGGAAGTTATTATCAACAAAAAGCCTGTTCAGGACAGTTTGATGACAATTTCCACCGGGCGAAAAGTACATTCTTAAGCCCAGGCAAATCATGACAATAAAAATCATTTAGTCTCATGATGATTGATTTTCTATATTTTATCCATGTAATTCCAACTCCTAAATTTGAATTCTGCACCAAAATTATTTACCTATATTTTAACATACTTTATGAATTATTAGAAGCGATATGGCAAATATCTTCTAAAAATAACTGTAAAATATCTGTATCCATTAATTGATTCAGATACACACTTTTATTATTTAAGTATATCAAAATAACAGTTTCATGTTCCTGAAATACAAAAATTATGGAAAAAGTTAAAGTAATATTCTTAGAAGCATATGATATTAGTCACCAGATGCAAAATTATAGTTAATTTTTTGCCCTAAATACAATTTTATTACACAGTAGTCAAATGTGTAACTTAATAACATGTTATATAAAAAATTAATGATAATAAGTTTATCAGAAATGAATTAATTCTGCAAATAAACTTTCTTCTGCACTTGAAAATTTTCTACACCTGAGGGGAGGGAGAGAGAAGATCTAGTAAAATTAGATTTATTATAACTTCAGTTTGGACCAAACACCTTCTCTCTCTATATATGCATCACTAAAGAAATAAATAAAATTATCATGCTTAAAAAACAGATATACCATACCAGTTTTTTTTTCCCCTTATTACCCTTTACATTGAGAAATAACAACAGTACAACACTGAAAAATACTATCCTTGAAATTTTGTTTAAAATGAAGAAACACACACCATCTTTTTATTTAAGCATTACACTTCAAAAACAGATACACATACCAATTTATTTTCACTAGCCTTTATACTGATAACATGCCATATAAAAATGAAAAGAATTATCCTTGAAATTTAGATAAAATGAAGTAACGCAATGGGAAAATTTATGCACACGGACATCTTTTTTCTATTGCATGTTGTCTGACATGATCCACAAGTGCCTAAAAATGTACCCAAAGAAACGCATTTCAATATTAACAAAAACCTGTTTACAGATTAAAATTCATTCATTTCATACCAGTATTATAAAGATCATGCATGAAACAAATCTGCTTTCCCATACTTTTAAGTAAAACTTTTATACTGGAAAATAGACTATATTTCTATATATTAGAAACAAGAAAATACTAATTTGAATGTTCTGCATTCATTTCTAAATCTTTACTCCATTGCCAAATTGTATAATACTGTGATTATAAATAAACTTGCACAATCCTTGCAATTATTGAAGTCAGATTACATATATATTGTCTCACACTATTCAATTTATTCTATTGACTTCAGGTGTCAATGTCAAAATTCTGGAAGTTATTTTAACCAAGAAACAGTAGTGGGCACCGTGCATAAACAACTCATCTAACTTTTTAACAATAGTGATTATAAAATAAAGAAAAAATTATATATCATTCCAACGATATTGCAACTATAGTATAATGTTACATATATCTTTAGCAAACATTCAGATTTTATCTTGACTTTCCAATTTATTATTTATTTTTTAATAAATTTCAATATGCTAATGATTTTCATGTTACATTGGTATAAATTCCACAATTAGCACAGGAAAACAAAATCCGCGCTTTATATTAGAAGAGAATTTTTCTTTTCCACATTCAAAACATCTACATTGGCGATGTTTGGCGACGGGTACATTAACCCTAGACTAATTTAATTATAGCTATTATTACAGAAATTAGCAGATACTCAGGTTATTGTACACAAGAATTTCACTTTACTTGCACATTATAAACATCAGAGAAGATATAAACTCTAAATGAAGGCGTAATTAACATTATACTTACTAAGCAAAGTTCAGCGCCTGGACCAGGTTTCCAATTGTCTCTTCGGCAATTATTTACCCATATTTTCTTCTTTCTTCATTTTTAGGAAATTTTACCAATGTATGACTTTCCGTGAATGATTTAAACAAGTAATAGCTGTACATCCGCCCATTTTACACAAAAAAAAACACAAAAAATTGTTGCACCGTAACTACAGAGCAGCCATTAAATCTCCCACTTGGGAGCGCGAATGCCTGATGATTCAGCCTGGTATATAGGAGCCTTAGCCGATAGTTTAGAATAAAATGTGATAGTTATTACTTAAGTCTGGTGTTTTGTAGATATTAGGTGTGATTATTTATTGATGTGGATCAGACGTAAATCATCGGTTAGATAGATGTTAAAGAACCCGCATGGTGAAAATAATCTTGATAAATGATTTTGTTTTCATTTCCTTCGTGGTATCGCAAGGCGTAAATCACCAGATAAGTCGTCTCATACATAATACCCTAACTTCTATTTTTACAACAATACTCACATATGTATTTGCGCAACATACCGAAAGTGACGGTGAAGCATCCAAAAACTGTTAGGCAGGTCTGAAATTTCTGTTAGTCAGCCCATTTTACGTTCATGCAGAGGGTGATCGTCGTTCTGAAGTTGTAGAGTAGAAAAGCTGTCACTTTATAGATTTCTATATGCTAT